CACAAGCACTGGAAATACGACCCTAATGGCAGGGACTTGAGTATGATTTCGAGTGCTTTAAACCATACTCAAATCATGAATTGAGCATTGAGTAGAGTTCTAGAATACGACCCATACTCTACTAGCTACAAGTATAGTATTTTTATTTGTGAAACGGAATTTACTAGCTCTTATAATATTAGGGGTTAAAGTATGAAATTGCCGTTTTATTGCAATAGGTTCTTTGAATTTTCATAGAATCTTCATGGTTTGAGGTTTTCGAATGAAACTTTTTTCAAATGGTTTCTGTGATTTTTTTTTTTTTAATTTGAAACATTTGAATATCGACTTTCAATTGTTTTTGTTATTCAATTTAGACAAGAAAGATGGATACTGCGAAAATTCGAGTGATTTTTGAATACGAGTTCCGACGCGGAACTAACGCGGCAGAAACAGCCCGCAATATCAATGCTGCGTTTGGAGAGGAGTCTACTAATGAACGCACCGTGCGATTTCGGTTTAAACGCTTTCGTGATGGAAATTTCGACTTAACGAACGAGACACGAGGAAGACCGCCCACACAGGTGAATAACGATGAATTAAGAGAGATAGTGGAAGCCGATCCTAGTCAAACTACCCAGGAATTAGCGGCATGGTTTAACGTTACCTTACCCACAATATTGACTCACTTGCGTCAAATCAATAAAATAAAAAAATACGAAAAATGGGTGCCTCATGATTTGACTGATCTGCAGAAAGAAACGCGTGTTGAAACTTGTGTTGCCTTGTTGAACCGGTACAGAAATGAAGGAATATTGGATCGAATTGTAACATGTGATGAAAAGTGGATTCTTTATGATAACCGGAAAAGAAAAATGCAATGGCTGACCCCAGGTGAAATGCCACAACAGTGTCCTAAAGCAAAACTTACCAATAAATAGGTAATGGTAACTGTTTGGTGGTCTCAGCATGGTGTTATTCACTATAGTTTTCTCCGATCTGGTCAAGCAATAACGGCAGATGTCTACTGTGCCGAACTCCGAACCATGTTGACAAAACTAGCAGTAAAACAGCCCCGACTCATGAATCGAACTTCACCATTATTGCTCCACGACAACGCGAGACCTCACACAGCACGAGAAACCATTTTGACCCTTCAGGAACTGCAGTTAGAAACCATTCGTCATCCTCCGTATTCACCAGACCTTGCTCCAACGGACTACCATTTTTTTCGTGATTTGGACAATTACCTACGTGACAAGAAGTTTTCTTCCCAGGAGGCAGTACAAAATGCTTTCACACAGTTTGTGCAGTCTAGATCGTCGGAGTTCTATCGCCCTTCCCATTAGATGGCAGCAATGTATAGATAATAATGGCAACTATTTTGATTAAATAAATTTGTTAAAAATTTAAAAAATAAACAATTTAGATTTTCAGTACAAATCGGGAATTTCATACTTTAACCCCTATTATTAGTACTGGTGACTAGTAGCGAGTGAACTAGTAAAATTGTAGGTTCGTGAAACAAGCCCCATAAGCTCCGATAAGCGTAAGTTTTGTAGAACGGAACGTTCGTCTAACGGTTTTTTTTCATTGACAAAGCGTAAAATATATAAACGTCATTTTCGCGCGCGATCTTGGAAGTGAACGTTACGTTGTGTTATTCAAATATTCTGAAATTTATAACAGCTTTGATTTTATTGAATTAAATTTGACAATTTTATCATGTTTTCGAAAGCTAAACGTTTTGAACCTTTGGGTAAGTTTAATTTAGAAATTGTGAAAGAAAAGCCATTGTCCTAGCGACTTTGTTGCCGTAACCATCCGGATACGCTGTATGATATGTACAATTCCAGGCGCTGTTAATAATCAAAGCAATGTGCCAAATAAACCAGATGATGAACACAGGAAAATAAATCTTAAGACAAAAATTACTGTAGCAACTTCATCGAAACCTACGCTGAAGTCAGTTACTACTTCTAGGTCCCAAAGCAGCTCTGTCAAAAGTGTTAAATCCTTTACAACGGTAAGTAAATTATAAAAACGCGAATTATTGAAACCATTATTATTTCTTTTGAATTAAGGACATTTACTGACTAACACAAGACATTTAATTGATCCCTTTTGATTGATCCCTTGACTTGAGGGACTACAGTATGAAATTGCCATTCTGATGCCCAAGTAATTTTTCGTGTAAGATTGTCTCTCATTCAATCTTATGCATCGAAAAATAATTTTAATTTGTTTTTATTTTAGTTATTTTTTGCATATGCTTTGTAATCACACATGGATACTGCTAGATATCTTTTAATCTAGATTCTTGTAAATTTTAATACAAATGAATGCTTGTAAAAAGTTTCGTGGATGATTAGGGTTTAAGGTGACAAATGGAGAGTTGTGAGCTGTTATTGAAGTCCATCAATCACAAACTACGGTGGAATTAGAAATATGGCTTATGAAATTCTACCCGCTACACTGAGCCATTTAAGTTATATCTATCTGAATGACAACTGACACAAAAATTGCACTGTCTTTATTAGTCTACATAGATATCAAGGAAATTTAGACTGCCTCATTACTTGTGATGAAAAATGGATAAAAAATGTATTTAATTATGATAGTTGTAATCAATGGAATGGTTAAAATAATAATGACAATATGTTTTGTGCCTCAACTGCTTGGTAGTCTTCCTTGGAACTAACACAATCATGACAGTTATCGCTATTATGAATAAATGCGAACAATGATGGTTCAGCTCTATACTATAATAACCATTGCTAGTCAACCAATCTTCACACCTATTTCTATATCATAGCAACAGAGCACGTACTGCTGAACATACACACATAACTCCTTATAAAAGTTGCATATTGAAACTATTAGCTATCCACCCTATCTACTTTCTTTGGCCTCTACTGACTACTATATCTCACTCAATTGTTATTTGGATAATTATGTTCAAGAAAAACTGTTTAGTTCCCATGAAGCAGTTCAAAATGAGTTTCGTGACTTTGTAGATTCCCATTTCCTACTATTCTACCACCAAGGAATAATGAGAGTTCAGCAAGATAGCAAAAGCATATTGGTTGCATTGTGTGTGTGTAAATCGTTTTTTTTTTGTTTTAATTCTCATATATGAAATACCAATGTCATATTAACCCTAAATATAAAATACATGTAATTAATCTCAAATAGACAATTACCCTCTCAATTAATTATTAATTTAAGTAGTTAGTTTTATTCATACTCATTACATCATTACACTTTGTCGTAACAGCCAAAACCAGTTAAACCCAACATCAAGTCCACTGTGTATGCTAAGAAATTATTAAGCCCCTCTACAAAAGATGTCAAGTCTAAAGCCTATGTTAAAGATGATCTTGCTAAAGAACAGGAAGTGGAAATAAGGTAAGTAATCATGAGTGACTTTGCATAAGCTTTTCCTAAATAATCAATATTAATGTCAATAATATTACAGAAACAAGGATTTCACCATTACTGAATATAGCAAACAGATTGAAGAGCTGAAAAATGAAATTGGTTGTCTTAAAAAAAAAGTAAATGAATCAGCTCTCGACAATAAGTCCAAAGATATAGAAAAGAAACTGTCTATGATATCATTGACTGATAACCAGGAAATACAAAATTATGAACATGAGAAATCTAATTGTAGTACTTTGATTAATGATTTAACGCTAAAGATTACGCAATTAGAACTTCAGTGTGAGAAACTGGAGGAAGAGGTTAGCAGCAAACAAGTTGAATTGACTTCACTTGAAGAAATCATTACCATTAGAGACACTCTATGCAAAGATTTGCAAGAGAAACTGACTAGCATGGAAACTTGTGTAGAAGAGACAAGACAGAGACTTGAGATGGTTAAAGGTCACCATGCACTAGCTTTAGAGGCTAATGAGAGTATCAGGCGTGAATACAAGGCTGAACTAGAAACTTTAAAATCTAAATTTGAGGATGAGAAACTAATAATTGTTACTAAATCTAAAGCCGATCAGGAAAGTGTTAAGTCGAAGTATGTTGCTATAATAGAGTCAATTAGAAAACATATGCAGAAAGAGAAAGAAGATGTTTTAAATGAAATGCAGCAACAGCTTGATGCCAAGGATCTGGAAATGAAAGCGAAATTAGAGCAAATTGATGAAACTGCACAAGAAAAACTAAAACTTTGCGAAATACAGTTTGAAGAGCGTAGCAGGACTATTCAAGAGCACTGGGAACAACAACAAGAACAAATCCATTATTTAGAAAAAGAAGTCAAAGATTTAAAATATTCTCTCAATGTAACTGAAGAAGAAAAGGACAAGTTATATAGAGAAGCTAGCAGTTTGACAAAAGAGGTAGAAATACTTAAAGCTGAGAAAGAAACTATTATCAAGAAAACTGAAGATCTGAAAGAGGACTCAAAGAAAAAGATGATTGATTTTGAAAATCAAGTTAATAAGTTGACAGTGGAAGTTGACAAGGCTATTAAGGAAAAGCATAAGTTTGAAATGTCCCTATCTGTTACTAGGGACATCGTTCAGGTGCTAACTATGCGCTTGAGAGAATCTGATAATGAGTTGGAACATTTGGAATACAAAGTCCAGAATTTAACAGAATCAAAGGAAGTTCTGGAAAATGATTTAACTACATACAAAAACAGTCTAAACAACACTATATTAGAATGTAATGAATATAAAGAAGCTCTTGTTAATATATTGAAATCCAAAGCTGCTCTAGCAAAGGAGCATACTAGAATTATGGAGCACAACGTTTCATTAATTGAGAGTTTACAAAATGTTGAAATTGAAGCTTATCGTGAACTTGGATCCATCAAAACTGAGCTTATTGAAGATGTGGAAATGTTGAAGAAAGAGTCGTCATCTCAAATTCAAATGCTTCGTGAAGAGGTTTGCGTTGAATTTATGTTATTTAAACCATGTAACATATATGATGAATGTTCAGTTAATAAAGTACCAAACTTTTAGGTGGAGAAAAAGAGTATGTTGTGTGAGTTGGCGACAGAGCACGCCGGACAGGCGACAGCAGCGGCAGAACAGTCGCGGGCGCTGCTTACACAAGCTGCCGCCGAAATAGCGCGTCTGGAGGCTGACAATCAGCGTCTTCAACAACAGGTAACATACTAAAACACGTAATGTGAAATTTTAAGGAGTATAATAGTTAATCAAATTTATTTTCATAGATTCAGGACCAACAATCTCTGGTGGTGGAGCTCTCGTTACTTCGTCAAGAAAATGAAGAGCTGACTATAGCGTTATCCAAACAGTCATCTATTGTTGAAAAGATTAAAAAGGATGCGGAACAAACCCAGCCTAAACCTAAGTCCCCTTCAATGGTTCGTAAAGGTCACAAGACTGGCAAGGAAAACTTGCACGTTGTAGTATCGCCTTTGAGAGAGCGCAATCATTGATTGCATAGTCTATTTTCTTCAGTTGGAAAATCTACGTTTCTAAATAGGTAGTACTTCTTTTTGTAAGTGATATTATGCCTTACTTTTATTATTATTACTCATTGATTTGATATTGTAAGTAAAAATTAAGTAATTTATTCGGTCATATGTTTTGTTTTCGATTATCTTATTTATATTAATGTTGGTTCCTGGCGAACTTATTCACGTCGCTAAGTTTATTGGCGTGAATGTTTACATAAATAAAATAGTGTTTGAAGCGGCCTTTTTATTACTGTAGAGTTAGTTGTAACCTTATTTATTATAGGATTAAAGCACACAAACATTAAATTTCGTAAATATACACAGGGTTATATTTAAAATACTAACAACCTCGCAGGACTATATTACTAACATCATACAACAACTTTTTAGATCGGTAAAATAAGTTCAAACGTGCGCGCGTCCTCCACGACGACTCCACTTCCATGCTGCACAGAGTTATTACCGTTTAAAGTGACCTATTTAAATCTATTTATTTTAGTATTAAAGTTTTTGATGAATTATTAAAAGTCGTGGAACAAAAGTTGTTGTTTATGATGCTAGTAACATCAACAGCCCTTCCAGGTTGCAAGTATTTTAAAAATAACGTTGTATATACAGAATTGCACGCCTAACTCTAAGCTCGCATTGTTCTCAGTTTGGGTGAATAAAATTATTTCACCTCCAAATTAGTAAGTATTGTAAAAAATATAAGAGGGACGCTGCTGTGCAATATTTTTCATACTATTCCAATTTATTAGAACTTATTACACACTCGGGTGTAAGGGGCGCCACTCAATACCTACGGTGCTCAATAGCCAACCTCGCCTGCACGCGGTACACCCGGCTCCTCCCGACGAGGCTCTGGTGACCTACCAACACGCATTGGACCTGCATCATACCTGCATGGCGGGGAAATGGTCTAAAAACCCCCCACTGTATGTATAGCACAGAAAAGTATCCCCAAGTGCCCGGCGGCGGCAGTAGCAACCGAGGTGCTGACGGACGTTGTGGAAGCTCTGGCACCAGGGGTTCTAATCTCCGGGTGAGGTTGACCGTCGAACGACTCTGGCGCTGGCAACGTATAACGCACGCACGCTCGGTCGGACGAGAGGATCGTCGAGGTGACAGAGGAGGTGGACAAGTTGCACTGGGATACCGTGGGGCTGTCGAGAATCCGTAGAGCGGGAGGACACGATAGCCCTGAAATCCGGCAACTTGTTCTACTTCAGCGAAGGTGTCCAGCTGTCCCTGAGTGGTGTCGGGTTTATCGTCCACAAATCCCGCATTGGCAACATTACATCCATCGGGAGTGTGTCGAGGAGGGTATCGTACCTTATACTCAGAGTATCCAAGCGCTACTCGCTGAAGGTCATACAGGTCTACGCACCAACCTCGACACACCCAGATTAGAAGGTAGAGGCTATGTATGAGGACATAAATCAAGCCATACATACCTCCCAAACACTCTTCAATGTTGTCATGGGGGACTTGAACGCGAAACTGGGCAGTCAAATGGTTGATGAGCCGGGAGTGAGAAATTTGGTTATGGGGAGTGAAATTCCAGGGGCTAAAGGCTGGCCGACTTCATGGAAAAGGAGGAACTTTTTATGATGAACTCCTTCCAAAAACCGCCTCAAAGGAAATGAACATGGTTAAGTCCCGATGGTGTCACAAGGAATGAGATAGACTTCATACTGACCGACAAGAGACAGATATGCAACAATGTTTCGGTGATCAATAGGGTGAAAACTGGAAGCGATCACAGGATGGTAGGAGGCTTGTTGAATATCGATGTCAAACGTGAGAGGTCACGACTGATGAAGTCTACTTTGCGACCCAGCGGTGCTCATATAAATGACCCCGAAAAGTTTCGGCTCGAACTTCCAAATCGTTTCGACTGCCTACAGGATTGCGTCTCTGTGGATGAGATTAGCAACAGGTTGGTAGAGACGGTCCACACAGTTGGGTCAAAATTCTTCAGGACCCACTACAAGGACAGGCCGCAGAAACTCTCCGATCATACTTTCAAGCTAATGGCAAATCGACGCGATATGACGCTGCAGCCCTCCGATAATGCTAAAGCCTACAGACAGCTCAATAGATACATATGGAAGTCCATGCGATGCGACAATGACAATAATATTAAAGATACCATAGAGCTAGAGCATAGATACAAGGGCTCCAAAATTTGCAAGGGGAATGTCTATTGGGCAAAGTTAGCTTACAAAGCTGAAGACGGAGGATGGCAGAGTTGTAACATCCAAGCCAGAGGTACTGGGGGACATCGAGAGGTTTTATAGCCAGCTACATGCCTCGATTATTCAGCCTGTTGCTGAATCAAAAGATCCTAGAGTCAAGCTTACCCGACACTATACTGAGGATATCCCGGACATCAGACTACGAAATTTGGATGGCTCTGTATAACCTGCCGTTATATAAGCCTAACCAATTGCAAAGAGGGGTGCGACAGGGAGATGTCATTTCTCCGAAACTGTTCACCATTGCATTGGAAGATGCCTTCAAGGTAGTAAATTGAAAAGGACTTGGCATCAACATCAATGGCGAGTACATCACTCACCTTCGATTTGCTGACGATATATATCTTGGTCATGGCAGAATCGCTGGAAGAGCTTGGCACCATACTCGGTGACTTCAATAGTTTCCCAGCAGATGGATCTAAGAATGAACATGGACAACACGAAACATATGTTGAATGTCCATGTCATACCCACCCCCATAACAGTAGGAACCTCTAATCTCGAAGTTGTTGACGAGTATGTCTACCTCGGACAAACCGTCCAATTAGGCAGGGCCAACTTCGAGAAAAAAGCCAATCGTCGAATCCGTAAACTCCGGGACGTCTTCTCGTCCGCAATACTGCAGTCCTTGAAGACAAGTCTTCGAGCAGTGCGTGTTGCCAGCGATGACCTGTGGCTCTGAGACGTAGTCACTTACTATGGGCCTCATAAAAAGCTCAAAGTCACTCAACGAGCTATGGAGCGCGTAATTCTCGGCATTTCTCTACGTGATCGAATCAGAAATGAGGAGATCCGTAGAAGAACGAAAGTCACCGACATGGCTTGAAGGATTAGCAAGTTGAAGTGGCAGTGGGCAGGGCACATAGCTCGTAAAACTGACAGCCGTATGGGCAGAAAGGTTCTCGAGTGGAGACCACGAACCGGAAGGCGTTCAGTGGGACGGCCCGCTACTAGATGGAGGGAGGACCTGATAAGGGTGGCGGGTAACCGATGGATGCACGATCGGCTAGTCTGGAAATCTTTTTGGGAGGCCTATATTCAGCAGTGGACATCTTCCGGCTGATATGATGACACAAACTCAGCCTGTTTAGCGGAACAAATAAAGCAGTGAGCATATAATAAATATCATTGAAATAAACTGAGGATATAAAATGCTAAGGTTTGTATTGAAAGAATTGAAAATAGTACAAAACGCCATTTTTTCATGTTGTCATAATAAACGCTGCCACTCTGAATAAGGCCTTATAATAGGGCTCATTCAGAGTGCCCGGGTCTTGAAGTCTTCCTTTTCAGTGCCGAAGCAGCTACTAGCGGGTAAATCCACATGTCGAAATCGCAAACAGACGCAGACGAAGCACTGTGAAAGGTACGGGCAGACCGAGCCAACAAATCTACCCCCGCCTCGAGACAGGCGCCGCGCAGCCTCTGTGAACGCAACGAGCGTCCACGTACATTTGATTTACACGCACCCGTGCCTATAAAAAGTTAAAAAAAATAACTGGCCAGTGATTAGAAAAAAATATTATTTAAAGGTTTTTGCCATTTTTTACTGTATTCCGCTAAATGTCCAGTTTTACAACTATAAATTGATACGGTTATAAGGTTTAATACCGATTAAAATGCGATACGAATAATAAAAACAACTTCAGTCTTACATTTATTTATTTGGACAATTTAATAAAATACAAAGCAACTTCACTAGTGCACAATAACTTAATAACATACACATGAAGCATTTTTGGCAAGACAAAGAAGTACATCTCGAAATACGAAAAGCTGTACATTACAGCTTACAATACACATACTTAGTAATTAACCTAAAGCAGCCAAACAGTTGCTGTAATATAAATTATACTAAACACTCTTTGGAATTATCAGACTTGAAACTAAATCACAAATACTTTGAGATATGACACTTATTCTTAATAACTATACACTTCATGTCATGGGTGCTTTGCTAACTTGGAGTTCTTGACTTCCATCTAACACTCAATATAACACTACATTCTCAGTTTCGCTATATTTTGAGTTTTAGTGCCTTTTAATTCTACCTTATTCATATGACATCGAAGTTCTAAATATAAGTCCTTAAGGTAAAGGTAACACAATTTAAAATTTACAAAACAAACTCATTTTTCTAAAAATGGTAGACTGTCTGCATGAGATCACTCGAAATTCATTTGAGATAAGATTCACAATCAGTCTTAAAAGTATGTTCTTTCATGTTGGACTGTTAAAAAGTATAAAAATCAGTCAATTCAATTATCACAAGATCGAATACAAAAAAGGGGAAAAAAATTCACGACATTTTGTAATTTATGTAGATAGATCTACAACATAAGTTAATACTTCTAAAAAAATTACAATGCATTATTCGTCTTTGGACTTGCACTCTTAAAACTTTAAAAAATGTCAATGTAAATCGTTTAAAAATGTGCATAAAAATAATTACAAATACAATTACAAATATAAAATTACGTAGATTACATTCAACACTTCATAATTTATAAAGTGGCATAAATGACACTGGTATTATATAAAAACATGGCAATACAAATAAAAAAAGAATAATGCTTAGTCGATATTTGCGTAATTTGGCACTAGGCCCTTCTCAATGAGCAATCGACAGGCCGGCAATTCCTGGAGTGGTAGCAAGTCTTGACCTATAGCGATCAAACGAGTCTCAGGCCCCGGCAAGTGGCCATGCCATACATAATAGTAGAACAGTTGCTGCATAGCTGCCATGAATCTTCGTTGTTCCGGCATTTCGGAATCAAAAGTTCCTAGAATAGCTTCAACGTCGGCATTTATATCTGCAATCCCTGAGCCATTCAATCCTCCACCTGCGCCTGAGCCGAGAACCACGTACAACGGAGCGCCCAAAACCGTCTGCGTAAGATTTACCAAAGGGCACAACGTACGAATAGCCCCAATAAGCTCCACTAACCCTTCATAAGTTTTGTTGAAATGAGTAAACACGGAAGCTCCTAATCTTTCTCCAACAACACTGTCGTTAATTACTCTCTCCACGATTTCCGAAGTCCAGTTCAAATATTTCTTTTTCAGGAGCTCGGTATGACCTGAATGCTGGGTTGTTCCCAAAACCATGGGCTTAAATGCTTTCTCTTTACCAGTTTCTTTAGCTTTCTTTTGCTCAGCCCAGCTATCATTAGCAAATACTCTTAATAGATCTCCATCTAAAACTAACCAAGACCGAAGAGTGCTGGATTGACTACTGTCTTTAAGGGGCAGACTGTCGAAATAACGCGTCATCCAGAAATCAGGTGTAGTAGATAGAATTTCGGTCGCAGAAATACGTCGCAGACAATCTACATTAGAGCATTTGCTTAATTGTTTGAAGGGTTCATTGTCCTTTTGAGCTTGATCAAGAGGTTTAGTGGGATATATTACAGATGAAGAAGAAAGCCATACCCTGGAAAATAGCTTTTGTGCGCTCTTGACTGTAGTTAAAGCAGCTGTTAAAGTAGCGCCAGCCCTGTGTCCAAGTAATGTAATAGATTGTGAATCTCCACCAAAGTGCTTAATGTTATGTTTTACCCACTGTAGAGCAACTATCAGATCACTAAGACCGTAGTTTCCAGAGGTAGGTGGGTATTTGGTGTTAGATAAAATATCGAGAGCTAAAAATCCGAATGATCCAAGTCTAAAGTTTGGTCGTACGAAAACTACTTCTTTGGTCCGGGCGTAAAGTGCGGAAGGCTGCGCTGGGCTGATGCCGCCAGATAATGAGTTTGCACCTATCAACACTACAACCGGTAATGGCGAGTCATATCTCACGTGAGGAGTCACAACATCCAGAGTGAGACAATCTTCTTCTCCTATAATAGTATTATTTTCCAGGAACTGTAAGCAGAGTGGACCCCTTTGACTTACTTCAAGGGTTCCATTCCAACACATTGATATGTTATTCAAGGGTTGAGCATAAGTAAACCTCTTTTCGCCTACTGGTGGTGCCGCATAGGGGATGCTGTAGAAGTTGTAGACACCGTCATTCAGCACTCTGAAGAACAAAAAATATACTTATGTAACAACATACGTAATTGAAAGTGTGAATTTTGTGATTGCAAACCGCCGCACACATCCTACTGCAATGCTCCGACATGCCAACAACAACAGGGCGAAATACGTTGGGAGTGCCGAGGTCGCTCTCCGAAGTCTGTGAAAAACCGAGGAGGATGCCGAGATTTTTGGAGGAGCTTGGGTGGCACGAGTAGGATCCTGCACCCACCAAACGCAAAATAGGCGTCTGGACGTGAGTTGCGGACAACAGCCCGTTACACCATATCCTATCATTGTCATTGTAAGCAATTGTTGGTTAGGTAGATGTGCTGTGCATACTGCATACAAGACGAAGGCAAGCCAAAGGAGACTAGCATAGGAAATTAGCATAGATACAATAGTTTATGAATAGACGTAGTTTTTTTAACGCACACGCACTCCCCCATCTGCACTCGCACATCCCCGCACTAAAGAATCGCTATATCGCGGGAGCTATGGACATACACATAGACAACTACAAAGTACACCCAAACTCAAGAGAGCAATAAATGTAGGCCATACAAATATTTGTCCCGGTCCGGGAATTGAACCCGGGACCTCCGCGTAGCAGTCCAGCATGGTAATCTTTCGGCCACGGAGGCAGTTCCGAAAGAGGGCGCAGAACAGGGGGAAGTGGTGACAATGTTTAATGAAGAAGGCCTTATAAACAACATACCCTTCAACAGGTCCACAAGTGGTGATTGTGGTCATGTAGCGGCCAAGCCGCAGCGGGCGTTCAGCAGGCGGACCGGCACGCGCGCCAATTACGATACCAATTATGACCACCAGTAGCACTAACAGCACTAAACCGCAGACCACTATGTCATCTGTACAAAATTATGGAATTAACCTACTGTTAAACATGTATATACAATGTAATATATTTACATCTACATAGTTACGAATTTTAAGCTGTGAAAATAAAACAATTACCTATAATAAACTTCTTTTGGCGAATCCTTTCTTTCAGAGGTAACTTAGTTGCCACTTTGCCTTCTTCTGCATCCTAACACAAAAAAGACACATTAATCATGATTGTTACTACTTACCTGCAAGTTAGTAAGCAGGATCATAATATGTTATATGTCTACTGTAGAAAGTATGTAGACAAAAATACAACAAATATTTGACAATTTTGCAACATATTACATAATATCATTGAAAAAATGTGGTTACTTACCCCTCCATCCAATTTAACATTTTCCATACCATCAGTTGGTGTATCAAGTTTGTCTTCTAAGGTTTCCATGGAAGCAAGTGTGGCTTCTTGATCTTTGGCTGATTGTCTTTGGAAAATCTTCGGGTACTTTACATTGGGTAGCTTTATATTCAAACGCCTTTTAGGCTCAGGATTGCCTTCTTCTGTAAAATACATTAAATTACATGACATTTCACCCATTGTACACAAACTTGTATTATAATTGATCTACTAATAACACACCTACTTAAAAGCTTTGCACATTCTCAATAATTCACACAAACAGTTAAGAATACATTGCAGTGGATCATAATTACTATCATTCACTTCCACCACTTACTTTATCATTGCCTTCTATATTTCTATACATAAAATAATATGCTTATAAATTAGAAAACAAAGCAGATACCATTTTCATTTGGCGGATGGTGCATAAACTGCGTGAAGGGGCAGGTGTGCAGGAATCGCAAACGATGTCGTCGGGGTTTGCTCTCATCTGTTTTCTCCTCACCATCTTTTTCATTTGCATCTTCTTCTTGCTATAGAAAAATATACGAATTTTATTGATAGTATTATTAGTGTGCTTCTAAACAGATTTATTAATATTAAAACATGAAAAATAGAACACTTCTGTACCTTTTCAGAGAAATTACATTTTTGGTATACTTCAAGAGTAAAAACAGTATACTTTACAAAGAGCATTTAACTAATTTATTTTTACACAGGATCTAACACTTAAATTAGTTCCGTACTAGCTTTGAACATAATGTAAATTTGGATTGTTCACTGAATTAAAAGTTTGACATATGATGGGTCATTGAGACACTGAAGGTTAATAGAGTCAATAGACCTCCCCTTCTGAGATCAATAAATAATAATTGCTAACTGATTATGATATATCCCACATACACTTTCAATACGAAATCACATGACCCACATGTGAAGGATGTTGATTGATATTTTTCAAATAACAATAACATGCAGGGTGATTTTGGAAGTTTGGTCTGCCTATAACATTATAAAGGCATACCTACCGTTAATGAGTCAGGTCTTACCTTGCACTTATCACTGTTCCTTGTGAAAAAGCCCGGCATTTTGATGGCGCCAATAGGTATGAACTTCGGTTTTACCTCCCGACCCTGTTCCGTGACGTCTCCCGAAAGTGCCGCCTTCACTGGACCCTCATTTTCAGTTTTGATTTCAGTGGCGGCTTCGATGGTTTCATTGTCGGGGGCTTTCAGCATCATTTCCTTCTCCTCTGCCTCGATTTGTTTTTTATCCGGCGTTTTATTGTCTTCCCCATTCTCCACTTTATTAATATCTAACGTGCTCATTTCTGAAATAATATACAATAAATGAAATGCGAAATAACACTCCAAATAAAAAATTGTTTGTCTCAATCAGCAAAGCAGATATGTGTGAATTACTAGAAAACAAGCTTACCGAAGATTGAAATAAACAATATTCTGCACAATAAATCATTAAAGTAGTAAAATTAATATTGGTTAAATAAGCCGTTTTAATTCAATAAACAAACCAATGATGCCGCGAAGCCGCTTCGCTTGCCGTTTCGGTCGGTCGATCAGTAAAATTCTACTTGCCGATGGTATTGGTAACGTCCGGTTCGTCGTTTTCAATGTATTCGAATGGTAAACATACAAATGGAGCTAGACATAAAAACGAAAATTTGTATAAGTCTGTCTCTTTCTATCTAACGAATGGCGTTATAATAAGTAAACATCCAAAATAAAAAATAGCATATAGGACCGGATCGCTATTAGAAGTCAATGGCTATTAGCGTTATTTCTCGAACAAAACTTTTTGCCACTTTTTGAGGGGCAGGGGGTAAACAAAAAGTAAAATAGAACTGTCTCACTATGGTCTCACACAAACAAAAGTCTACAAACTAGCTTATTTTTACAAATACACAGACAATACACATATTCATGTCATGTCCGTACATAGATTTATATACTAAATCATGGTTGGAACCATTGTTGAGCAAAATTTAATTGTTCTGGCAATTAAAGATTGACAATTGATTAATTGTCAATTGCGAAACAGCAATTAACGATTGATCAATTGTTAGTTGCGAGAACCGCAATTAACAATTAATCAATTGTTAATTGCGCAAATAACAATTGATTAATCGTTAATTGCAAATATCTACAATTAACAATTAATCAATTTTCAATCTTTTCAATGTTTTTGATTAACAATTAACAATTAAAACTGACAATTATGATAAATTTATAAGGCATATGGGGGTGAGTTAGGGCGTTGGCGTTGGTTGTGGGGGCCTGTTGGGGGCCTGCTGGGGGCAGGTTAGGGGGCCGGTTGGGGGGCCGGTTGGGGGCCGGTCGGGGACCGGTTGGGGGCCTGCTGGGGGCAGGTTAGGGGGCCCGGTTGGGGGCCCCGGTTGGGAGCCCCGCTTGGGGTCCCCGCTTGG